AAACAGCTGCTTGCGCACTTATGCACACACTCTCAAGACAAAGGGGAACGCTTTACTCACACCCGCGCAGCCCGTCCTCAGTATGCTTCACCCATATTGGGCCTTCTCAGGAAGGCACTAGCGAATGCGAATATTTAGCGTAATCTCCGTCTTTCTTGCGACGCTCTGCCACCACGGATTTTCCCTATTTCGTTCTTCAGGCTCCTCCCCACTCCCCACCCCATTTTCCCGTTCTGTAGTGACATCGCTGAGTCAGGTGCTTGCAATCAGTGCGGAGGCGCAATTTACTAATATTGGTGACCAGAAGCTGTCGAAGATTTGCCAGCAGTGTAGACTGTAGACTTCAGTTCCTAGAGATTATTTATTTATTCCCCATGCAGCTAAGCAATTGGGGAAATGCAAGTAGTATCTTGGCATGTGGGCGGAAGTGGTGTAGTGGCAAGTGGCACGCTTACCACGCGAGCGGTCCGGGGATCAAATCCTGGGTCGTGAGTCGCCCGGGCCAACCAAGCCTTCCATCCCTCCGGGGTCGGTTAATTGGTACCAGACTTGTCTGGGAGGATAAAAAACACTCTGGCCCCCGCAAGTCATTGTATAGGCCACATCGCATTCAAACGCCACTACGAATGTACAAATGGAAGTAGAATGCGTGCCGCATCCCAAAAAGGGATTGATCAACGGCAAATGCTTTATTTTTCTGCTTTATGCTTTAATTTTTCACATGTCTTTTTCTTCTCGTGTCTGTCAGTTTCCTTGTTGTAGCAGTGCGATGTCATCCGCTCCTTGTTCATCAGTTGCATGCTTGTATAGGCTGATGAGTACGCGTTTCGCTCATAAATTCTCATACGTGTATAGAAAAACAGGCAGAACTGCAAGTAAGTTGGGTTTTGATTTCAAATTGTTCCGCGAAGGAATGTCGGCTTTTCAGTCATTACGAGAGGGTTCTCTTTTCCCTTCAGACACTTGCATTCTACCGCGACAGTCTTGGCGTTACGATGTTGCAATAAAGAAGAACTTCCAACGAATGATTGGTAAACGATTTGGATATGAAATGGGGTAAGTGGACAACACACCTCATTGCTCATTCATTCTGTTTCGATGTCCATTTCAGCGTTGCTCAAACATCTTTGTTGGTTCCTTTCGCAGCTTCAGAATATTTCATATGGATTGTGGGAAGTAAACTTCAAGCTTAAAAAACGCGTCCCTCTATGGCAATTGCCTGCAATTATAACTCCTACCGCCTCCGATGGATCGTTCTTTTATATTGCTAGAAGTGAGGGTGCTAATTTTGCTCAATTGACTTTGCCCATCGTTATGGACTACAACCCCCGATCGCTCGTTGGCCCACGGGGTATTTGTTGCCAACTCTGAAATTTTGAGCTTTCACCGACAAAGTTGTTCACCATTCATCCATCAATCCGTGGTCAGAGTCTGGTCAAGGAATTACTTTTCAGCAGCGCTTATAATAAGAAAAGCGCTATTTGACTTGCTGTTAGCAGTATGCTAGGTGTTGGCATTATTTTTACACACAAACAAAAAACAAAATGATAGTCGGAAGCTGTCGAACACTTTAGAAAGGGGTATTATTAATTTCACTTCAGATCGCTCTTTCATATTATCGTCGTTTGCCTTCTTTCACTCCTGGTGATCTTCCATTCTGCTTCTATTCTTCTCTCCCGGCCTTCATCCTCTGCCACTGGAAGTACCCTTATTCCCTACAATGATTAGCAGTGGCCTGTTTGGGAGTAGATAGAAACGGTTGGACAACGAACGCACAGCTGCATCCCTGAACGATTTGATCAATTCCATGTGCACCAGTTCCTGGTTTTATGTGCGAGTTCAAGAGAAAAAAGGTTTGTGGCAAGGTCAGGGTAAAATGATGTGAAGGAGTCCACTACTGACGGACTGCAATTTTCGCAATTTTTGATTTTATCAAAAAATAGCCTGTTGAAATGAATACAGTTTTGGTCCTTCCAAGAAGAAGCTCACAAACCGTCTCTCATTTTGCACGAAATTATCTAAGAGAAAGCTCGATAGTAGGAAGTCTAATACTCAACCAATAAGAACATTAGCGCGGTGCTCGGACTAAATTTCCTGGAGGGCCATTTTTGGTAATTTTGACTTTACCATGTTCTTTGAATAACATCAGAAAGAATAAGTGTCTGGTCCACGGTGCCCCACTATATTTACCGATTGGATGCTTCCGGAAAAAAATTATATTAGGTTGTCCGGATTTTTTTTAAGTAATGTCGTCATTTTCATTGACTAGGCACCGTATTACCCAAGTCCAAAATTCTACAGAATTACGACGAAAGAAAAGGAAATGGTCGACCTATTTGAAGTCCAAAGCAGAATGTTGAGAAGATGCCTTGACCGTCAAAAGGGTACATTACCGATCGATTCTTTTAGGAGGAAGAGTCGGACTCAGTTGTCGATTCGGCTAATTTTGTCTACTGTAGTCTCCACTTTGTAAGCCTGTATTTGTGAGTGTTGAGTATAGAGGGGATGCAATGTGTCTATGGAACTCAGTTTTCTTCCGAATGATATATTACATCATGAGGCACTATTTACCCTTTACTGCCCCACTCCTCGAGAACTGAGCCGGATTTTTATCGAAATTGTCATGACTGTGGATTTGGCTAGAAACTTGCCTTCGGGGGTAATTCGACCCGTAGAACACGAATATCACATTCGTTTACCGCTAGAACGCCTGGCGCTCGCGCCAGAAGCGCCGGCGCCAAAAGGCGCCAGAACATCTCGGATCACCCAAATTCGCTGGAAACTTGTCTCAGAGGTACTTTGACCCGTAGAACATGAATATCACATTAGTTCGTTACGAGTGAGCCTGTAGCCTGCGCTACGGGCGCCCGCGCAAAACTGTTGTGATGGCGCCGGCGCCAAGCGTTTCGCGCTAAACCGGTGTGATATTCGTGTTCTACGGGTCGAAATACCCCCGAAGGCAACTTTCTAGCCATGGACGAATTTCGATCAAAATCCGGCTCAGTTCTTGAGGAGTGGGACAGTAAAGGGTAATTAGCGCCCATCATGATATTTTAGCAACATGGATGTTCTAAAATGTCTCTTCTTATCGGACAACCTAATAATTCATTTAATAATGTTAGCTCCAACCTGGGAGAAGCTATTTTGAGATTAAGAGGTCAAAAACTGACATTAAGCCTATTAGCTGCTGAACTTGTTAAAACTAGCATAATCCGAAAATTTTCGTAGTAATTTTGGCTGAAAATCTTTAACGAGGACATTTTTGAAGCATTGTTTTCATCAAGTAGCGCAGAACCATGGAGAGCAAGCCTTCTAACTTATAACTGCCCACTCATTTTTCCTATTGGATGCCTTCAACGTAGCTGCTGCAATCAAATTTCTTCGTTGGCCGTACTTATGCGGAGAGGGAAATAGCGGCCGTCGTTATTGGGGGAGGTGGGGTCATATTTGAATGTTATCCGCGACTCATCCACTATTACTTCGCTTCGCTAAATTTGAAAGGCGCTTTCATGCGATAGAATGTGTATGACAGCGTGAGGCAAAAGCACAACATAAAAGTGAGACCAACCTTCTAACTCAACTCTCATGTGAAATATTCCTGTTTGAATCTCGGCGAAATGCTACAGTCGCTAGTAGAATCCGAACAGGTGCTAATGGCTATCTCGTATCTCGCCAATGTCTAAGTTGCTGCTCAAGTGTCGACAAAGAAGCCTGAGATCGGAATGTTGCAGCTCCAATAATGGAACCATTAAAGTATTGCAATTGCAGTCTGGAAGACCGAATTCTGCTGTCGTCACTCGGGCAACGTGAGCGACGCTTGGATCAAAAGAAGATTAATCAGTTGTCAGCGATTCTTGAAGCGAAAATTGCTGAAGCTGCTTCGGCAAATGAAGAAGTGTCTTCTTATGCCGTGCAGTTCACCAAGGTAAGAAAGAGCTAAGTAACAACCCAGACACAATTTATGGGGTTATAGCGATTGATAATTAATTATGAATGACAAGATACCTAAGTGGAAATACAAGACGAAGTAAAGCAAACTGCCGGTGAAGCCAAATGAAACCAAAGCAAACTGCCGATGAAGCCCTCAACAAGGATTCTCCTCCCTTTGAAATTAAGGAAGGGGCCCGTAGGACTTGTCCGAACTTACATACTTGTTCAACAGGTTGGGTGTCAAATGGCGTGAGGTGTCTAGTCCATGAGTTTACGTTGGCCGTCACTTTGTATAGCACTGGCCATTCTAGTGTGCTTTTGAGCCGCGACAACGGCCTGCACACAGATTATTCGATATGATCGTGTGAAGTTGTTGAATCGAGCTAAAACCAGGTCATTCGAAGGGATGAAAAAGGGGATTTTACCCCAGTCCGTCTTATTCTTCAGTAACTGTGGAAACGCTTGCTTGTTAAACAGTTAGAGATATTTCAAATGCGATACTTACAATAAGGATTATTGTATCGGTATATCGGGAATATGAATCCTTTTGGATTCGAGTGGTGGTCTGAATTCGACGTATGGAGAGGTCCGACAGCATTGCCAAACCTTCCAGCATATCCAAAAATCAAATCAACGTTCACAGCCAGGAACGTGTACGTCCGTGTAAGGGTTCTGGATATATGCAGCCCATTCTGAGTAGCCTGTATCCAAAAATGCCGATGCGGGACGCGCGCAAGCCCTGCTCCAACCGGTGTTTCTCCTCAAGTTAACTCCTGTGGTGTCTGGCCCCGCAATGTAGCCCAGCTGGATTAATTCAGTACGAATTTGTGCAGTCTCATCAATGAATATTTGCAATATTGCTCTCACCCTCGGTGTCCGCGTCACTTAAACGACGAATTCACGATAAGAACGAAGGTCGAAGAAAGGGGAAATGGCCTAGTTGGGAGACAGGCGGACCTCCTGAGGGTGCTGACCAACGCGCAATTGGCAGCGAAAGATTTGACCTCGGCGCTCCAGCATGGCTCACTCTTGGCGCGGTTGGCCGGTGTACGCCCACCGACCATCTACACACTCGCCGCAGAAGAAAAATTAGCTAACTGAAAGTAAGGGTAGAGATGGTCAGTGAAGCAGGGATGAAGAAGAACCATTTGAAACGGCCCAGAACCCAAGAAATGGGACCCTTCCTTGCCCGTTGATTTGAGCATTGATGCGACTCTCATCGCTGTGCCCTCTTCAACACTACGCTCTCTCTGCTACGTAATCACTCGCCACGTATAGTGATCAGATGATCGGTGGGCGTGCACTGGCCCACCGCGCCAAGATTGAGCCTTAATAGGTCGCCGAGGTCAACTCCTTCGGTGCCAATTGCGCTTCAGTCCGCACCCTTAGGAGGTCCGCGGGTCCCTCAACTAGGTGAATTACTCCTTCTTCGACCTTCGTTCTATCATGAATTCCTCCTTTGAGCGGCACCTCGCCCGTAATGTGCGTGGCGTGCGCCGGAGTAGGCGGTGTGGCCGCAAACATTTCAAATTCGATCCCAGAACAGCCAGAGATCCGGACAAAATAGTAACAGTGTGCACCGAGCTGGCAGGTTGAATAAGAGCCATCTTCTGTGTGGTGGTGGGGTTTTGGGGGGGGGACGTTTTCTAAGTGGGTGGTGCTAATAAAAAAATCGTGTTTTGGTTATAAGGAAATCTACAAAACAGAAACTATCGATGTAAAGAGCAAAGTCTAAGGGTCCCCAGCACATTTGAAGTGATAGAAGGCCCACCCACAGTAAGCGAAATGTTTTCAAGTGGGACTTCGCGCTGGGACCACACCCACAATACCAGGATTTGTGATGAAGACAAACGTCAACAGTTTGATAGCCTCTGAAAGAGCAGAAAGACAGAGTCTTCCTTTTTTCTGAGTTCACTCGATTCCACCTTGCGAAGAAAATTCTTGAAAAATTAAAGACTCTTGAGCCGTTATTTCTTTCAGCTCCACCGTGTAGCCTCGACTAGTGCCAACGAACGACCTGCTCCCTTCTCTAGTTCACATTCTAGAAAAGAAATCTTACTCTAATCATCATGATGTCAACGACATCCAATTTTCCTTTGACTAGAAACTTACTGGAATTCTACAGGAGAGGCATCAGACACATTTCTTTTTGACGATGCGCTGCTGCTTATAGTTTCGTGTATGAAAAAACTGGATAAGTACATCAGAGAAACAGAAAAAAATAATAAAATCGAAAAAGCAGCCAGTATCTCGGAAATAATGTGCCGTCCTAATGGTAACCCCTCTCTGCTACTTTGGAGGGAAAAGTGGGTGGAGTTGGAGTGTGCGTGTCTCCAAATCAAATACTATTGTAGCAGCCGTGCTGATGAGAGGCTCGGATGGAGGATCTCCCAAAGCTGGTGATGGTGATGGGGCCGGGGTAGGGGGATAGGGACACCAACATGGGATGGGATAAGGGACGATTGACACTGACGATGCTTTATCAGGCCTAAGAGCGTAATTCACACATGGAACGCTGTGTCCTCAGCGTGTAACAAAGCAAGTCCAACTTTTCTAAATTTCTTTCAGGTGCAAGTTAACAGCTCATTCACTAACGTGAAGATTTGGTGGCTTTGCGACGGCGTGAACGATACGGTCAGTAGTTTTTATTGTCATACGTATTTAAATCTAAAGTCCCGAAGATAAGCCAGTGCGAAGGTAAGTACGACTGGCAAAGTGAGCATTATCAGTATAACATATGCGTTGCTTTGTTTTCTGTTTGTTTTTTGCTTTATTGTTCTTATTTATTGTTAGAACTAGTTCTTTTTTATAATATTCTATTTTTCGGGAGCAAAAAAAAATCCATGTGTTAAGAATGTAATGAACCACTCGGCCTCAGTGCTGAGGGTGGCTCGTAAGATCAGTGTACAGGCAGCGTAATCCAACGTGCTATAGCACTCAGAGTGTCAGCAAGTGCGAATAGCGTCTCAACTGTGAGATTGATTTGGGAACAAAGATATAAGATGCTGTCGCATTTGCAAGGGAATCGGGAATCTGGTTGAACAGTCACGTCATGTAGTTTTGTGTTGAATTTGGGTAGCATTACCAACTGGATCCCAGGAGACACCAAGGCAGTTACAGGACGATGTAGGCACGAGCTCTTAACCCATTAGCGGCATTGCGGTTCGATGTGGAGACGCAGCATAGAGATAATTCTTTTGCGCAGGACTCCGAAAATTATTCTAGTCGCAGGAAGGCGTTGTTGTGAATCTTGAATGGCTGACTTTTTGTTTTCCATTAGCTGGAGTGGTTACACAACTTTTCACAAGAAGAGATCTGGATCCGACCCATTTACGGATTTTAGAATAGAAAATTGAAGTGTTTCCGGCTCGCTGCGAAATCCACCTTGGACAAAACGAAAGATTTACGCTCATTTTGGCAGCGATCGGCAACAATTTGAGATGCAAAGTCTCAACAGTTTCTGCTTTGAGATTCAATATTTTTGGTGCCGGTGGTTTGCTGCATTATGACGCATTTTTCGAAAATATTGAAAAAGGCGTGGTCCCACGTGGCAGACACGCGAAAAATCGCCGTCGTCAATGGCTTAACCAACTTTTTTTTAATGAAAATGTTACGCGAAGGGACTAATGAGCTTCATATACCTTGAGCAAGTAGAATCTACAGGAGTACTCTGATTTGAAAAAAGGAAAACTGGAAAGGTTGCTGGTGCCCGCTTTAGGAATTAGACGTTCAACAGGGCGATGAGGTGAAATGGAATGAACAAAATAACCTTTCTCGTCGCACTTCTGTTGACATTGCAGAATTTGATTGCTTTTACGTAATGCAGTTTTATTAACTATTCGATGAAATTGCTTTCAGAAGATTGAAGAGTGTCTGGAACGTCACCGTCACTCTTTACGGAAAGCGTTAGCGGACTCTGTGGGTGTCAACTGTCCTGAATTGCACTTTTTGCCTGACCGGTCAAAGTTACTGGAAGAGGTAATTTCTTCGCTTTTTTTATGGTTCGATTCCTTGTACCTGTATTCGGGTTTTTCTTCCATTCTTATGGTCATTTGCTCAAAGATAAGTCGGTATTCAGTGGGTCAACGAAAAGAATATCAGTCACATTACGAGTTGAAATACAGTTGACAGCCGACCTTCC